CCTACAGTTGCAATACCAAAAGGACACAATAGGCCACAGAGTTCGGATATGGAAGAGGAGAAAAGTGGGTATTAGTTTACATAGGCTTAGAGCGGGGTATCCTGGACAACAACTATTTTATAACAAGATTTTGCTATTGGAAAGCTCAAGGCTGAAATTTTGGTGGGTCGAAATTGAACTTCAAAGTTTTGACGAAATTTTTTCTTCAGAGTGTGACTAAAGTCGTGTGAGGTGCATTGCTTTTGACAAATAAGGTGCGCTTAGTACTTTTAAAGGAGGAGGAGGTGACTTTGGCCACGTGAATGCACACACCAAAAAAAGAAAAGGTTAAACCGACAACGAGCCAAAAAACGGGCCCCTTTACTTTAGTGAGAGAAAAAGGAAGAAACGACCCAAAATATCAGAGAGAAAAAGACGGACTAAACAGACTTAATAGAAGCAAACAACTAACCAAAAGTTTAACAGAGACAACGTCCGAGAGAGAGCGAAGATCTCCGGCAACACAACCCACAAGCACCAACGATCCAGAAAAAATAGAGTCAAAGGTACAAGAGCAAAGACAGCGAAGAACTAACCTCACCGGAAAAATTTCGACACCCTGATTATCAAGAACTAAGCTTGCACCTCGCCGGAAAATTGTTGGCACCCCAAGACAGCAAGAAAATCGCCAGGAAATAGTCGGCAACATGCCGGATCCTGATAATACGACCAGAAACTTGCCGGAAAACTGTCAGCAACCTGCCGAATTCTTACAAGACAACCAAAAACTCACCGGAAAATTATCGGCAACCTACTGGAAACCTGTCGGCCCTTATAGCCAGAAATTTTCCAATTGAGCAAGATCATATTGACGGACCGAAGCCTCTCTAATACCATGTGAGAGAAAAACTTCTGCATATTTCAGTATATAATCATGGGAAAATACCCCGTATTTATACAATATTTCACAAGCTACATAGCCTGTCTAATAATACAAAATATGAGGAAAATATACGAGAGAATGAAAGACATGATAGCTTTTACGATATCAAATGAAAAAAAAAACATAATATTATACACTCCCGGTACTTTTGCCATTTATATGGAGCCAATTTGTAAAAAGACTAAACTCCATGTACTCTGGCAATTGGCTATCGAAAAAATAAAAAACGAAAAGAATTCTTAGATTCATTTTCAGTTTCAGCCAAATGTGTCCTTAACTTCAGGATTGGGCAAATCAGTACTTGAAAAGTGGGCGGCGCCCGAGTTGAAGGTCCAACTCGGGGATCTTAAAAAAAAATTATAAAAATTCCAATAAATAAGAAATATATTTATAACATATTTATTTATCATTTTGACAAACATTGGGAAGATTTTTGGCGGTGAATTCTTATTTCTACATTTTTTTTCATCTTTTAGAAAATTTTGAAAAAGGCAAGCTTTTTATGTTTTTTTATAGTATAAAAGTTCTATCTTTCTCCTTATCCAACCGTCCATTTTGAATGGAGGGTTAAGATTGTCCCAATCACAATGTCATGTCTCTACACTATTTTATTTATAATTTTTTTTTATAAATTATTTTGATACCAAATTTTGGACGTTCATTCTTCTATTATACTCACACTAGCAAAAAATATAAAAAATATATATAATAAAATAAAATAACCAAAATACCCTTGAAAGGTTTAAGGGGTATTTTGATAATTATATTTTATCAAAAAATTATTTGTAATTTTTTTTATAGGTGCTCTCCCAATGAGAAGATGGCATGTATCAATTTTCATATTCATACAATTTACGTAAAAAAACAAAAAAAAAATTCTTTGAGACGTCGGATCTAAGATCAAACAATGAGTGACTCCTTTGATCAAAATTGGGCAGTCGGACGATAGGAAGATGATAGAACTTCTATCCCATAAGAGAAGCATAGAAATTTTTTCCATTTGAAAATACCTCCAATCACAAACTCATTTTTTAAAATCTATTTTTTCACTATTCTTTTAAGTACAATTTTTTTCACTATTCTTTTAAGTACAATTAGTTGTGTTTTGTTCAAGTTTACTTTAAATATAATTTTTCAAGCGTGGCGCATGGGCAGAGTAATCGGCCCTGAGTCGACTTTTCGATTATTCGGGATTTCGGGCAGCGACCTTGTGATTCAAAACCAAATACTGATCGTGTATACTCCCTCGGCCCAATGGAGATGCTTGAGTGGCTTTTTTTATTTTTTAATGAAATTTTGGCATATATGTGAGATGATTATTTCATTGAAGAATTGTTTCATGCATGCATCATCGATCGACCGCATTTCTAAAAACAATTATATTTTTTTTTGAGAAAGGTTCCAACAGTTAGTTTTTATTGTTCTTCTGAACTGTATAGGTAGAAATGTGACCCAGCAAAGAATTTTCCTATTTTTAGTTTTCAAATTTTTTTTTTTCATATTCATGATCTCCATGTTAAAGATTATACATACTCCAAAATTAACATCAAATTATATTTAAAAATATATTTATTCTTAAGCCCGTATTTCTACAATATGCGTGCTGGCCACATGCTAACTGTGTCCTATCTCATTTTGTATTTTTAACACGGGTGCAGTTAGCATACGGGATGCATAGAGATAAGGTGCACCTTCAAATTTTATGATGGTATATAATTTTGTTGTAAAATGTTTTTAGGATTATCTCAAAATATATTTTTATATCTAATTATAAAATTTTAAATTTCAAAAATAATTAAAATCTGATAGATCTATAAACATATGAAAATCTTGAAAATGATCTGTATATATAATATATTGTAAAATACAATATTTTTTATACTTAAAATCTTTTTATTTTTCATAGTTATACTTAACGTCGAGACAATCAATCAAACAATTTTTCAACATTAAAAATACCTTTTCGGATGGATTTTTTAGGACATCGGTAGTTCTACCTTATAAAACTTTTTCCTTTTAATACTTGGATTTCACGCTTCAAAATTTGAAAAGCCTACGTTCAATCCTCAGATGCTATTCTTTTCATAACATAGAAGAATTTAAATTTTTTTTTTTTTTTCTCTTAAATTTGACGTATAGGTTGAAGAGGTTACGTGATTATGTCCTCAAAAGTATTTCTTGATTGGATTTAACCAAGGGAGCAAATAAACAGTATGCTCCTGCAAGAGCACAAATCTTCGTGCTTTCACCAAAATCTTACCACGTTACTGTCGCCAAACCGTATGTGGGAATTCCTGAGAACGGACAAAAATCTTTGAAATTTAAAAGTACGGCGGGTTTTGACAACTGTCGCCAGTCACCAGCTCATTTACCCTAAAAAGGCCATATTTGCTCTTTCAATATTCAATGCCCAGACGTTTCAAAATTTCAAAAATATTGAAAACTAGGAAAAAGAGTTTTGTGGGGTCACGGGATGCATTTCTACGTAGATTTCCGTGGCCGTATATGATGGAGTTTTTATAGGGCCTAGGTTTTATGAAAGCAAAATGAAACCTCACCTAAAATCATCGTCCAAAAAGCACTTTCTGCACGGAAATCTCCATGATGGCTACAAAATCAATTGCTAACACGAAAACTTGAACCAAAAAAAAAAAAGTAGAAATCTTGCAGATTTATGAAAATTTATTTTTTAAGGCGAAATGAACTGTCTATAGATAATTTATTACAATATACACTATATTTAAAACTTAAAATCCTAATTTTTTCACAAGATGTACAAGATGAGATGATCGATGTAAAGGTTTTTCAAGACTTGAATTATAATGAGTTATGAGGTGAGGCTTTACTTGTTTTGATAAAGCTCTGCCCAATCAAACCATTTTCCTTTAGAAAATGGTAGCCTCATAAAATTTTAAATTGATAGTGATAAAACTATGTAAAAAATATTTTATTTTTATTTTCTTATTTATCAAAGGAATCAACCCACTCACGCCCGGTAGAAATTTATCTCTAAAAGGGATTTTAGATTATTGTGGTAATTATTAATATAAAATTTTTTTCTTTTTGAAAATTAATTTCATATTCTTTGAATATTCTTTTCAACCATCCATTTTGAGATACAGTTGGAAACATCATTTTTTGATATAGATGTGGTAAGTCGGGTGTGTCACTTATCAAATCCATCTCTAAAAATAGTTATTAAAGGAATGACTTAGGTGAGTCTGCGGACTCATAGAAACTTTTTAAAATACGAAAATACAGGTTCAGAGATGAAAAGAAACGATTCAGAAATCAATATCGAAGTCTTTTCTTATTCAAAATTCAAAAAAAAAAAAAAGCGCATCCTCTTTTAGCCCTTCGCCCATGAATAACACACCTGAGGCACAGAGGAGCCATAACGAAAAAAATCATCGCAATAAAAACGCTGCGTGTTATGACGTGGCACATCTAGCGGCACCTACTGGCCCTTCCCTACGATACTGGCCCCACAGAAGCTCGAGGATCCCGCATATTCGGTCATTGAACGGCGGGCCCCGCCTCCTCTCGCTGTTGAGAGGCGGTTCGTAGGCTGTGCCCATCGGACCATTATTCTATCGCCGCGTGTGACCATCACGTGGCAGTGCCTCTTCTCACTACAAATGGGACGCTCCATTCCTGAGACTGTATCACTGCACTTACCCGAGGGAGAGCTCAAGTGTGAGAAACGCAGCTCTCTCTCTCCCTCTCAAAACTGAGAACAAGAAAAGGTAGGGAATTTAGGGTTTCTTTTGAAACCCTTGGCTTCTAACAATCCGCGACTTCAATCTGTAGTTTCTTTGTTAATTATGTCCATTTCTTTTGCTCAGTAGATTGCTATGATCAAGTTGGATTATTTGGAGTAATGCAGAGAGATCTTGCAAGTTTTAAATTTGCTTGGAACCATGGATCTTTCAATGAGTTTATGGCTGAAACAATGAGTTAATGGCTCAGTTTCAGCTTGAAATGGTGTTTATAGCTGACTACTGAAAAGATTGTTTGCTTCATATATCCAATCTTCTGCTTGTAGATAACTCATGGCCGATTCATTAGTGACTGAGGGAAATGACAAGTTCTCGTTTTGCTCATTTCTAAGTTTCAGCTTGAAATGGTGTTTATAGCTGACTACTGAAAAGATTAGTCACTTCATATATCCAATCTTCCGCTATGGTAGAGTACTCATGGCCGATTCGTTAGTGACAGAGGGAATGATAAGTTCTCGTTTTGCTTTTTCTAAGCTTATAATTTTGTTCATGATTATTTCTCTCTATTTTTGTCTTTCTTACCTTTGTTGAAATGATCGTGTTTTACAATTTCCTAATTTTCATTATGAGTATCTGGTGATTCCAAATTAGGCTTCTCTTTCATAGAGATTAGGTTAACTTTATCTTTGTGATCAGTTTATGTGCTAGTATTATGGTGTCAGTAGACCCCTCCAAAATTACGGAATGGTTTGAACGCTAATAGCTATCAAGATTTCCATTGAGTTCTTACAATAACTAGAGTTGGATTGTCATCTGAACCGTTCTAGTGATTTTCGATCTTGTAAAACATGTGACCATCTATGATGCAAGCCACTCATCTGACAAGTCAAAGTAAAGTTGACAACTGAATGCATTATGAATGTTCTCCTGCTTTTGAACTTTCTTTTTCCTTCTCTTTTATTGTTATATTGTAACTCTCCCTTTGGTTTTTTGTTTTTTATTATTTAATCTCTAAATTATTCAGGCAAATATTTGCTTTCTTTTCAGTCTGAAAGTATGATCCCAACTTGATATGTAATTTGATTCTCTGGGGAATTTAAATACATTCTTGAAATTTTTCCTGAGCCTTGTTGTAGAACTTCTGGAGTCATTAAGCGCTGCTTGATGTGTTCTTTAATTGTTTTGTTTGGTGAACACAACTTTTGTGGCTGAATTGAGGATTAAGTTATCCAGTTGCATTGTAGTGAAACAACAATTTCTAATTTTCAACCTAATGAGCAAGAATCTAGTTATTGCAAAAATATTAGTACTGTGGAAACAAACAAAATGGCCAAATTTCAGGATATCAGCCAACTCTCAGCCTAATTCGTTGAAAAACTTGAATGTTATATTGTATTTCGAGTGACAATTTTATGAGATGTATACCTCTAGAAAGAAGAGGAAAGAGAGAATGTGGAAACATTTAATTCATAAGTGGGCAGTAATCGACTGAAAATCACTCTGGATTTTGGCCTATTTTGACACATGGATACTTGGTTTCCTCTGAGGGCTAGTCCAATCGCTAATAGTCTTCTAGACTGCTTGGAACCTGATGTTTCTTTTGATTCCATCTACAGGAAAGTCACTAGTACTTGTTAGCTTGCTACAGCATTTAGGTCTAGAAAACTGAATATTGCCTTAAATTAATCAATAAATGTCTATGTTAGTAGCGGTGGTGATGCTTAGTAACATAAAAGGCCACAAGAAGTCTGTATCTGAGTGCAAATTTAGGATTTGTTTCAAATTATATGTCTATTTAAAAGTTGGACAATGTGTATATACTCTTTGCAATTTAATATTGCAATTTAATATTGTTTAAGTTTGCAGGTTAGGTTTGCTGATTCTACAAGTGTCCAGCAATGGCTACTCTGACTGCAGCGCACATCAACTCTGGAGTGACCTGCAACTCTGATTCATTCCCATACCCCAAGATTGGAACCAACAAGAGCTTACTTTCAAGTAAACAACAGTCCTCATATTTTGGGTTGAGATCTGTGAATAGAATTGATCTGCTATACTTAAGAACCCATTCAAAAGCGACATGCAAGCAAGTGAGGAGGGTGTCTAAACAAGAGTATGGAAGAAGAAAGGGGGTCATCATATGTGGACAAGGAATGAATGTGGTCATTATTGCTGCAGAGATGGGTCCATGGAGCAAAACAGGAGGGCTTGGGGATGTTACTGGAGGATTGGCCCCTGCCTTAGCAGTAAGCATCACATTAACTTTGCTTGTCTTTTACATTTAATTTTTGTGCATAATTGTGGTTGTCAATTGGTGATCTATGTTTTTCTTTCTACTTGTTGAACTTGTCTAAGCTAGCTTTCTTGCAGGCAAATGGTCACCGTGTTATGGCAATTGCTCCACGCTATGATCAGTACAAAGATTCTTGGGATACAAATGTCTCGGTCACGGTATATACTGGCCACTGGAAGCTATCATTAGAAAGTTCATATGTTTGTGCGTGTGTATTAAATTGACATGCAAGTTTGCAATGGTGCAGCTAATATTCTCATATTAATGCTGCAGCTTAAAATTGGGGACCAAACGTTCACAATTCGTTACTTCCACTGCTATAAGCGAGGTGTAGATCGCGTGTTTGTTGATCACCCCATTTTTCTTGAGAAGGCTAGTTTTCTTTTGTCCTCCAAATTTATTCTTGAAATCTTGTTATTTCAAATTCTTTTAATTTGGAATGATTGATCAAAACACACAACGCTGTTCTATTTTCAAAAACAATCAGGTGTGGGGAAAAACTGGGGGGAAGTTGTATGGTCCCCAAGCTGGAACAGATTATCAAAACAACCAACTACGATTCAGCTTACTATGCCTGGTAAGTAGCTTTTTTGTAATTACTACAGTGTGTTACATTTGAGTACCTGTTGAGGCCAAGAACTTTATTAGTTTTTTAAGAAATGTGTTTTGAATCTTGAATTTCTTCTGTTAAATATTTATAATGTTGTAACATAGAAAAATTAGATTTTAGATACATGCTTATGTTTGTGATTTTCATGTGATTGTTCTTCAGAAGTCTCTTTTTTGTGACAGTTCTCTTGGAAGTTCATTTAGGGTCTCTTTAAGTTTCTATGAAATATCAAATGACTTGAAGAAGCACAAAGAAATCTATGAAACATGAGCATTTATGTGATTTACCTCAAATTTCAGTGACTTAAACTAAAGAGAAGTAGAAGCTCAACGAGATAAAGGACTTTTCAGGTGGATGTGATCTATATATTTACTGGTCCAACGTCAATTATAAGAGTAGACAATGATTCCCTTTATCTTTCATATTAGCCAATTCAATTGGCCAAATTACACATGCATTCATGCAACACACACGCAAAGTGTACAATTGGGCTTGGTTGTGCTTCTGTATATGTGTATGCATGGTTATAACTCAACTAACTAATTAAGCTTGGTATCCCTAGTTTCGCCTAAGTTTATCATTATTGAATATGTCACCTCTACTTCACCTGGCGGTGAGTGCATTAGAGATGATTTTACTGGCTCAAACCTGACCTTGATCATCTTTATGTATCACCTCTGAAATTGCTATATATTGGAAAGTTGCAGTAAAAATCCTACCATAATCTGGATCAAGATATTCTTCTTTTCCATATTTTTGTAAATCATTAGGAAGTCCATTCTGAACATGCATCTGCTCTTACATAAGATGATCATATTGTGCTAATGGTGCCATGATGTGATATGCGCACGTGTTCTCATCAATCAAGAAACTACAATGTCTGTTGTGAAGGAACATATGTCAAGGAGTTGTGTCAGATTTGAGAGTTAGATAGTTGCCATCTATCTTCGTACAGATTTATGACATTTCTTTGAAGTTATTAACAAAGTGTGGGGTATGCTATGAACCTGTGGGGTATATTTTTGAAGATTAATCACTTGGAGTTCATCTGGAATCAACTCACTGCTACCCTGAGTTCTCCTGGAATAAAGGAACTTGGCATGAAATATGACTGTAAAGATGTGTTACCAATTTGTTATGACTATGAGTGAGATGCACAGGGAACGTATTCTCGATGGCTGGCCTTACTGGAATAGACGTTGATGTTCCTTTAGTTGATTTTCAAGTCAGAATTATGCTTGTGTCCTGGTTTTGAACTGGTAGTGAGGATCTGATGTCTGTCGATCACATTCAAACATAACTTTCACAGTGCAGTCGCACTTTTGATCTTTGCAAACTTGAATTTCCTTCCTTCTATTCTTTTCAGATGACAATAAATGTTTTATGCAGCATTGCATGTGGTATCTGACTTCGCTGCTTTCTATCATCATCATCAGCATCACTAGCAATACTCTCTGGTCTTGAGAATTTTATTATCTGCTTTTTTTTCTAATCCCCCCTCCCTCCTAAACTCATAAACATTTCTTGGAATAAGGACTGAAAGTATTTTTACTTGCAGGCTGCTCTGGAAGCCCCAAGGGTTCTGAACCTCAACAACAGTAAATACTTCTCTGGGCCTTATGGTACTCTCTCTCTCTCTCTTTCTCTCTCTCTCTCACTCTCTCTCATGGTATGTGAAACAACATGACTCGATCCTTGTTTCCATGCCTTTTTGTGATCAGGGGAAGATCTTGTGTTTGTCGCTAATGATTGGCACACTGCACTAGTTCCGTGCTACTTGAAAGCGAATTACCAATCGAAAGGAATATACAAAAATGCGAGAGTATGCACTCTCTTCTTGTATTTCTTTTTGTTTTCCTGGGAATTCTCCCACTATCCTTTTCATATACTCAGGATAGCCTTTCTGCTAAAATTGGGTTCGGTGATGACACATTGACAACAGGTCGTATTCTGCATACACAACATAGCTTACCAAGGCAGATTCGCTTTTTCAGATTTCTCACTCCTTGGCCTACCAGATCAATTCAAGAGCTCTTTTGATTTCATGGATGGGTAAAGCACTTCCAGTAACCTTTTATTTTGTTTTCCTTGAGAAGCCTTTCCTGAAGAAGGATATCAACTTTTTCTCTCCATTTTCTCATTCCTCTGAAACTGAATTCTTTTGCAGGTATGATAAGCCCTTGAAAGGAAGGAAGATAAATTGGATGAAAGCAGGCATTCTAGAAGCCGATAGGGTCGTGACTGTCAGCCCAAACTATGCAGCTGAGGTGGTCTCCGGCAAAGCCAAAGGAGTAGAGCTTGATCCCATTCTTCGAAAGACTGGCATTACTGGAATTGTTAATGGAATGGATGTCCAAGAGTGGAATCCTGCGACTGACAAATACATTGATGTCAAATATACCATAGAAACAGTAAGACCTATGTATGAGTTTCTTTTGGTATAACAAGACAGGAACTATCAATCAAATAAAATATTTAAAAGGATTTGGTTTTCATGTGCTTGGGATTCTTGCAGGTCTTGGAAGCTAAGGCTTTCCTAAAGGAAGCATTGCAAGCTGAAGTGGGATTGCCTGTGGATCGTACTGTGCCACTTATAGGATTCATTGGGCGTCTGGAAGAGCAGAAAGGTTCTGATATTCTTGCAGCTGCTGTTCCTGGATTTATTGAAGAGAACGTTCAACTTGTTGTTCTGGTGAGGTTTTCTTCTTTCTTGTTTCTGGAGCAAAATTTGTTATCTTTAGATTTATTGGGCCTAGGAAAATTTTCATTTTATGAATTTTCTTGGGAAATTTATGGATAACGAATGGAAAACCATAAATGATATAATAAGAAGGAAAAAAGAGAGAAGTAATTTTAAACTGACCATCTATAAGTTCTGTTTTTTGAAAAAGAAGTGCCAGGAAATATAAGTAATCAGGCAATAAAATCTTATGGGAACTTGTTACTCAGGGCACAGGCAAGAAAGCTATGGAACAACAGCTTGGTGAATTGGAGGTTAAGTATCCAGACAAGGCCAGAGGAGTGGCTAAGTTCAATGTTCCACTTGCCCATATGATAACAGCTGGAGCTGATTTCATGTTGGTTCCTAGTAGATTTGAGCCTTGTGGTCTTATTCAGCTCCATGCCATGCGATATGGAACGGTGTGTATTCAAACTTTTACACAGTATTAGAGCCCCAAAACGTTGCCATTAATTTTTCTCTCATAAATTTTCAAGTTCTATATTTTCTTCTTTGTCGAATAGGAGTACTTCAAGCTAGTGCCCTCTGAAAGAAAATAACCCACCATGTCTGGATCAAATACTGATCACATTATTCCAAGTGTTTGATGTTGTCAGCCCTTTTTCATTAGAATTGTCTGCCAGTTTGTAAGATTGTAGTTCCTGATATTGGTGTTATTTATCTCACTTGGAAGGAAGCTTAAGTGTTTGATGTTGTCAGCCCTTTTCATTAGAATCGTCTGCCACTTTCTAAGATTGTAGTTCTTGATATTGATGTTGTTTATCACACTTGGAAGAAGCTTAAGGAAAGCATGAATGGATGTGGTGCAGGTTTCTATCGTGGCCTCAACTGGAGGGTTGGTGGACACTGTAAAGGAAGGTTACACAGGATTTCAGATGGGAACCTTCAGCATTGATGTAAGTAGGACGTGAGATCGTGGGCCTCTTTTTCCTTGAAAACCTCTCTCTCATCGTTTTGTTTCAGATGATCTCTCTCTCATTATTTTGTTTGACCTGCAGTGCGATGAGGTAGATCCTGCAGACGTGACTGCAGTTATCACAACAGTGAAGAGGGCTCTAAAGGTGTATGGTACAGCTGCTTTCTCAGAAATGATAAGGAATTGTATGGCCCAAGATCTCTCCTGGAAGGTATTCTCTCTCTCTCTCTCTC